AACTGTATCCACAGAACGGTGAACATCTGAGCTGTGTTCACCATGGACTTCTGTCCTTATAAACTGTATATCCACTTTTCTTATATGCTGTGGACAATCAGTAGTCTCCAAACCTCACTTCCTGGTGTTTCCTGGTCTTATATACATATATACATATTGATGTAAATATATATAAAATAATCATAGTCATATGTATACAGTGGGTACGGAAAGTGTGTTTCACTTTTTTTTTTTGAAAGGGTGTTTTTCAGCTGCAGGAACAGGACGACTGGTTGCAATTGAAGGAAAGAATGAATGCGATGAATGCGGCCAAGTACAGAGATATCCTGGAAGAAAACCTCTTCCAGAGTGCTCAGGACCTCAGACTGGGCCGAAGGTTCACCTTCCAACAAGACAATGACCCTAAGCACATAGCTAAAATAACCAAGGAGTGGCTTCACAACAACTACGTTACTGTTCTTGAATGGCCCAGCCACAGCCCTGACCTAAACCCAATTGAGCATCTGTGGAGAGACCTGAAAATGGCTGTCCACCAACATTCACCATCCAACCTGACGGAACTGGAGAGGATCTGCAAGGAAGAATGGCAGAGGATCCCCAAATCCAGGTGTGAAAAACTTGTTGCATCATTCCCAAGAAGACACGTGGCTGTACTAGCTCAAAAGGGTGCTTCTTCTAAATACTGAGCAAAGGGTCTGAATACTTATGACCATGTGATATTTCAGTTTTTCTTTTGTAATAAATTTGCAAAAATGTCTACATTCCTGTTTTTTTCTGTCAATATGGGGTTCTGAGTGTACATTAATGAGAAATAAAATGAACTTTTTTGATTTTAGAAAATGGCTGCAATGAAACAAAGAGTGACAAATTTAAAAGGGTCTGAATACTTTCCGTACCCACTGTATATGTACCTAAAGCTATATGTTGATGTGCACTAACCAGTGTGTTCCAGTAAGGCAAAAGATGTCTTTATGAGAACCAATGGAGTTTGAGCCAAGGCCTAGATACTGGAGCTGAGGAGGTGGATGGCTGCTGAGGCTGTGAAGAGCTGTCAATCTGTTGGCACGCAACTCCAAAATCTTCAAAATAAATAGTGAACCAGTTATCATCTACAAGATAGCGATACACACTAACTTTTTTTTAAAGCTCACATTAGTTGTGTATAAATTAATGGAAAATAACAGATGTTTATATTATCTAAAATGGTACCATCACACTGATGCAGGACTCACCTGAAAAGTCCTATGAAGGTTGTTTGCAGGAGTTTCTGAGATTTTGTTAGCACTCAGCACTAGTTCCTCCAGTTTGGAAAACTTTAGCAGGCCTTCATCAACCCCTGACACAAGGTCAAAAAGTATGACATTAGAGCACATTGCTGTAGTTAGTTTAAAAACCAACATCAACAGATGGAAATTTAAAGACTTGGGATATTATCAGATAATTGCCTTCAGGTGAATTGTTGTAACTGCTAGAAACTTTTTGGTGTGTGATTTTTCCCATTTTATTTTACAAACATTTTAATTCATCTTTGGTTGTGAAACTGTATTTTGTATATGCTTTGTTGCTGTTCTTTACCAGGTCTCTTTTGGGCAGAACAGTACTTTGATTGATTTTATTGAACCTTATTAAAAATAGATTAGGAAAACAAACTGCATTTTAGACATTAAAAATTTGAAAATCAGTTTTGACCATTTGTTCATTTAAATCTCTGTCTTCCTTTCCTCGTGTGTGGAGTTGATTAATGTGATCACACTCACCTGTGTCTGTCATTAGTCTGCCTGGTGCCCTGGGCATACTGTATATACCTCTCTCCCTCACATTGTCTTCATGGAATCATTGTGGGATTGTTGTTTTGCTGTGTTGTGTGTGATTGTGTAATGTTCATGCCTTGTGTTTCTGCTACCCTGAGCTTCTGTTTGTTTCTGCCTGTCTTGAGATTCAAGTTAGTGGACTATTTTAGTTTCGTATTCTGAATAAACCTACTGCACCCAAAGAGAGTCTCCCTTGTGCTGAATTTAGGTGCTGCCTGGTTCCTCTAACAATGTGTACTTGGCCCTACTTGTCCTTGCCATCGTTGTAACGAACGGTTATAATGATAATGAAAAGCCTTGCCTTCTATGATGTGTAGCGTGGTAAAGTAAACGTAAATGAACTATTTTTTTCAGGTGTTTAGACGAGAGCACCGCCAGTTTCCTCAGAGTAGAGGCTTGAGGGCTCCACGACACATCAAGCCGCCAGGGAGAATGTGGACAGGACAGCAGGTCCATGAGGTCATCTGTCTCCTCTGTCCCTGCTCCCTCTGTGCTGC